ATGACTGGAAAAATGTGGAACTAGTAATATTATCGGACATTATCAAGATGACCGTCCGGATGGGTGGTTAAAGAGGTCCAAAAGACAACAGTGACTAGACGCCGTTGCTCTGTGCAAAATGGCACTTTGAGGACCTCAGTAATATCCGCAGACAGGGCGTCGTGTTTCGCTACCGGACATGTTGTTTAAGATGGGCATCTAGACGGTCATCTTAATGGTGTCCGATAATGTTGACTTCAAATAATTAAAACGCGACAGGTGTGTAGTCACAACACTAGTCCGGACAGGCGTCCTTACCTGTCGTTTTCTGCGGCGTCCGGACATCGTCATCCCGTCCAGAGGTAGTACTTTGCCCACACCTTTTTCGTCCTTGGTCGTACCCCACTTTTAGCCGTCTTTTGTTTACCTGGGCACATTTATCGCGATAAGTTCTTGTTTTATCGAGGTCATCACGGAGTTTTTGCAGTTACGGCGATAATTACTTTATTTAAATAAAGTAGCTTATTACCACAATAAAGATTGTTCATTGACAAATTGCGATAATAAAATTATGACAATAAAAGGCTGCTTTATTCGATAAACTATTTATTGTCTTAATTACAAAAACTCCGTGACAGCCTCGAGAAAACAAGCGCTTATCACGATAAATGTATCAAAAGTGTCGTGGTTGTCTAGTAAATATCAGCTCTCAAAACTGATCTGTTTAAAAGTAGATCTTTTCTGTTTGATTCATAATTCATTTTTCATTCCATCTATTCACATCTCACGGTTTATTCTAAAGTAAACTAAACTATTTTTGCACTTTTTTTCAAACTTTATTACTTTTTGTATTGATAATTTCTGGTTTTAATGTAATGCCCTAAAAGTTTGTTGTATTATTTTTGACAAAACAGAAAAAATATGTTGGTATTTACCTGAAAGGTAACTTGTGATACTCTAACTTTACCTTTTCTTCCATTATTCGCACTACGACATTACTTCTTACTTTTTATTGACAGAGTTGACGACATGATGTTAAAGTTGCAAAACTTTTCATTATTAAAAGTATATTAGCAAAATTACAAATGTTGTTTGAACGTTTACCCAACGAAATTGTTTTACTTATTTGTGATAAACTTGGAAGTATTGAATCATTGGTTGCGTTCTGGGGTATTAATTTACGTTACAATTCGTTAATGAATGAATATTATACAGGATCATTAGATCTATCAACATTAAATTTTGATGTATTTCAGCGTTTTGTACAAAATATTTTACCAAACATTAGTGCAAACACTCACACGCTAAAATTATGTCATTCACATCAACAAAATGGTATACTATCCATAGTCAAAAATCCCAATCATTTTGAATTTATGTTTCCAAATTTAACATCATTATCATTATCATTTACATTTGCTATTTATTTATATCCTTATCATCATTTATTCAAACAAGTATTGTATCTAAAAATGTCATTGTATGATATTGAACAATGCCCAGTAACGATTATGCAAAATATATTCATGTCAGAAGGTCAACTAAAAATATGCAGTCTTCATCGAGTAGGTTGTATTCAATAATTTACTAGTTTCACTTTTCAAAATACACTGTAGAAAACTAGAAGATTAAACAAAAGGTGATTACAGTTGGATATGAGTAATATAGGAAAAGCTCTCACACAGTACCTAGTTTGTTTAATGAAAATTTTATTGTTATGCATCATACTAAGATCGGTGTGCCCAAATGTCTGGTAATCGTTCACTTTATACTATTTTATTTCTTTACCGTAGGTATTTGTCCTGTAATACTTAACGTTAATTTGTTTCTTAAGGGGGGGTCCCCCCATTTAGATTTTTCTCTAGC